CTGTCCTATGGCTGTCCCATGACTTCGCTCTAGTATTGGGTTGTCTCATAATTCCTGTCGCAATTTCGACACTTTTGTTTATTCAAGTTTTATCTCTTCTGGGAAACAACTGACTAATAGCATAACCACCATCATGGTCACTGATATGCGTGCATTTACTAGTGGCGTTTGGAAGCTTCCAGCCCAGAATGAAGGAACTGGGGGTTGAAGAATTTGGAGAAGTCGTTTTTGGGGTGGTCGCAATCTTTAACTTTCTTCTCTGGCAGATGCTTATTCAGGGCGCAGGGGAGGCGATAGTCCGATAGAGCGATGCCAATGCTATATGGTGGATGAGGTATCGTGGCCCTGGCTATCTCCCCCACAACGTGGTGAGTTGGCATTGCAATGTGAGGTCTGGTGTACATTCGGAGGAAGGAGGATCTGAGACGTTTCTGACGATTCTCTCGCAACCCCAAAGCCAGCCAAGAGGGCTATTCCGCGCTGACTTTAGCAATGCTTGTCTTCATACATTGAAGTGGTTCCCAAACCAGTCCACACTACGAATCCAATAAAACAAGATCGGTATTCTCAGAAAGAGGAGTTCGGGCTTTAGTTGAGCTGGTGCTTCCCGGCTGCGAGGCCGCATGTTGTTGTCGCAGTGGACTCATGTCTCATTTCCACTGGTGAGTGATCAGGGAAGGCTCTGCTTTTGCCGTCCCAGAGTGAATTTTTCCAGATGGTCAGGCGTGCTTCCTCGCTCATGGTCGGCCGGACCATAAGGTTTCCATCAAAACTTCATTCTGCAGCAGTCCTTGCCATACTGATGGCGTGTGCTGGTGCATCGGCTGCGCTCAGGTATCTGCTACAATACCCTGGTAGCAACGTGCGGAGGCACTCCCAATTTAGGGTGCAAGGGGCGCTCATCAAAAATGACCGCAGGCCCAGTATGAGGTTGAAGTTCATAGCTCGTTTCGTCTTTGCCGTTGCGATTGGTCCACTAGCTCAGTACCCTATCAGTAGCAGAGACTGAGTCAAACACAGCGCTGATCTTCTCTGTGTCCTTGCTACAGAGTTCATTTGAGGATCGTAAAGCATAATCATTGATTGCAGTCACTGACCTATTTTTATTACTAGTTGATTAACCCGTTAAGGGCTTGCGCTTCCGAAACCACGCTGTTAAGGCACTTGAAGCATACTTCAAACATACTAACGTATTTCGCAATGAAACGGTCTTAGACGGAAGGAATTTGAAATTGAATAGAAATGCGACAGGAATT